AGAGGGAACCAGCATTATGGTTATAGGTTAGGGGCTGACCCTCTCGGCAGCACAGAGGGATCTTGGAGTCAGGATTGACTCCAGGATGAATAGGAGTTGCCAATATGATGAAGCAATAGGCAGAGCCAACCGCACCCTGTCATGCATCAACAGGGGCATCACTAACAGGTCCAGAGAGGTCTTGCTCCCCCTCTATGCGGCGCTGGTCAAGCCGCAGCTGGAGTACTGTGTCCAGTTCTGGGTGCTGCACTTCAAGAGGGACATGGAGAACCTGGAGAGGGTCCAGAGGGGGCCACTCATATGGTTGGGGGCCTCCGTGGCCAGCCCTATGAGGAGAGGCTGAGGGACCTGAATCTCTTCACTCTCCACAAGAAGAGACTGAGTGGGGATCTTGTGGCTGCCTACAACTTTATCAGGGGCCAGCAGCAGGGACTCGGGGAAAGTCTGTTCACCAGGGCCCCCCTTGGAGTCACTAGGAACAATGGCCACAAGCTGAGGGAGGATAGGTTTAGGTTAGATATTAGGAAGAACTACTTCACTGTAAGGGTGGCCAGAGCCTGGAATAGGCTTCCCAGAGAGGTGGTGCTCTCACCTTCCCTGAAGATCTTCAAGAGGAGACTGGATAGGCACCTGGCTGGGGTCTTATGATCCCTCCCACCCCCAGTGCTCATTCCTGCCCATGACAGGGGGTCGGACTCGATGATCTAGGTCCCTTCCGACTCATTGATTCTATGATTCTATGACTGATGTACAAATAAGCAGCATAAATGGTTGTAGCAGAAGTAAAGATCTAATGAGCTGAGAGTTTTAGAACTCCTGTTAATCATTGTTTCTTGTCATTCACAAGCCTAAGAATTTATGAGCGGATAAATATACTGTGTAAACTGAAAATTGATTTTTTTATTGTGTATGCACTGTGGGAAGGGTAAATATATCCTACATGTTTACGCAACATTATAATTAGCTTTAGTCACAAACACATGTAAATGTGTAATTTGTAAGACGGTTTCTTCAATGCCTGGCTGAACTAACTGTGAACCAAAAATATTAGGATGTGTGATTAATTCAGAAAATAGAGGGGCAAGTAAAGAGATACAGAAAAGTCTAAAATGGCCATGACTATGATTTTCAAAAGAGCCCAAGCAAGTTACATACCCACTTCCCATAGAAATTCAATGGAAGCTGTGTGCCTAACCCTCTTCAGTGCCTCTGAAAATCCAAACCCCAAATCCCATTGGAAACTGTGGCCTAAATCCATAAAGCCCTCTGAAAATACAAACCTAAATATCTAAATTCATGCACAGCACAAGCCATTGGTGCTAGAGGCTGGATGCGCTTTGTATAATGAAGTTCAGAGAGTTAAGTAAACTCATATATATTTTTCAGAACAAAAGAGAACTGGGGACTCAAACCTTTCCTCTTCTCCACTAAATAGTCATTTAGACATACAATGTAACAACAGTTACAAAAGCGGAGGGTCAATACCTTCAGTGCTTACTCAAGAAAAATTGTAATTGAAGAATTTGGTCCAATGATTTTGGCCAATAGCTGTCAGTCCTCAGCTAGCATTTAACAAACATTTATTACCTGCACTTTCAAGTGCCAAAACCCCACTTATACTAAAATCATTACATGTGTAATATGATAGGTTTAATGTATTGCACTCCTACATCATTATTGTGACTCAGCTGATGTTCCAAAGTGCTCGACGGTAAGTTTAGTCACTAATAATGTGTGTGCATACAACAGATTTTCCTCTTGTAGAACTGTATCAGTTTCATTCAGCTGATAGCACTCAGTCTCTTAGTAAAAGATTTTGTAGCCAAATCTCACACCGAGAATTAGGTTCCTTACCAAGAATGTCTTCACATTCAAAAGCCTGTCTAATTCTATTCCAGCTGCATAGTTGGTCCAATAAAAATATCACCCTAAGAAATCCTTGCTCCTAGTAAAGCCTGACACTGCCAAACTAAATGTGTTACATGATTTGTGGTATAATACCTAGCATGAGAAAGCTTTGACTTCTGCACATTTCTGGTGTCTGAGCAAGCAGAAGCCTAAATTTACTTGGTAATACTTGCCTAGAGGAAGGATAATCTTAACCAGTATTGCCTTTGAATAAAACATGTCTAAGACTATGAGATTTGTGGACTAGAACAAAAACTGTATAAAACCAAAATCCATTCTTTTCTTATGTAAAAGCATTAAGTCATACTAGATAAAGAAAATGGGTTTTCCTACTTCCTATGTAGTTTAAGAAAGTAGAATTTCGTGTTTATCAAAATGTTGAAAAAAAGTTTCCAGCAAGTATCAGAAGGATGTAAACTTCAAGAATGGAGGGAAAATTGTGACTTTACAGAGTGTTCAGTATCATTTTTTGTCACAGTTAAAGGAAGTTAACAGATTTTATGTTTAAGCTTGGATGGCTACATAACTGGTATAACTAGATATACACATACTGCTACTATAATATATGTCTTTACACATACATTTGTGTGTATATAAAAATATTTACTTTGTTGTCAAAGTTAATATCTGCATATAAAATCAAGAATACTGAAGAATGTAGAAGTACTAACTTCTCCTTTGGAGAAAAGTAATAAACCAATTATATGTCCTATAGAAAGAACACTCTTTGTAAAATACAGCTTGTACTGAATTCTCATCTATTTCTGAGTTAATACATTTACTGAAATTTCATACGTGAACAGACAACATAGAACTGAAAAAACTATGTTGTAGAGGTTTGTGTGCAATTATAGAACTATAATTTGCCATAATACTTCATTTTTAGATTATATTAATCCCTCCCTAGTATCTAGTTACTACTACCAGATGCAATATTTTTAAATGTAATTCTACTTTAATGTGTATACATATGAAGGCTCTTTCAGGAACGTTTATTTTCTCTGGAAACACTTTGGCAGAAAATAATTAAACATGAATAATGTTTTTCCTGATCCATGTAGATATTCAAAACATCCTACAAAATCAAAATCATAAAATTATGAAACTACCAGTCTGCAAAACCAACTTCAATAGCCATAAAACTTTATGCCAACAAAATATTTTATATGCTGACATAAACATTTGACACAATGCTTTACTTACATACTATAAAATTCAAAATTTTCCAGTTCAAAGCTAGAGCACAGCCCTTTACCGAGTCTGGTTAGACATGATACCATGTACGATACTTTACAAGATAAACACAACTGTATGGAGATTTCTGAAATATAGAAGCCCAACAAAGTAGAGCAGCTGCTGCAGGCTAAAGTTTGACCTTCCTTCTAATGATATGTTAATACCACCCTCCTAATATCAATCACACTCTCTCTCCCAATGTATCTTCAAAAGCTATATTTTAATTTTTATGCAATTTAAAGGGTTGCACCATTTATACAAGATGAAATAACATGCTCTTTCAAATCTGTGATGACCATGGATTCTTACTAAAGTAACTGAGTTTACTGTGTTGGAATTCATATTGTACATTGACTGCTAGATCCACATAGTCATTCCAAACTCATTGGGACTATTTGTAGTTAGGTTCTTAGTCTTTAACATGTACATGTTTCATAGACCAAAAATGTTAATTTCTTATTGCTAAACTTTTGGAGAACATAATAACAGTATCTTAGTGGGAAAGACACAAGTTAATCAGTGAGAGAGATATAAATGCATAATGCATTTAGGTAATTTTAAACTTTTCTTCTTCCTGGAGTTCACTCTGTGGACTTGGATGACATTTTGATGTCGTTCACATGGGATGGCTTTTCTAATACTTCTGTCTATGTGCAAAAGGCAACTGTGTTGCTGACCTGGCCATGTCACCTGCAAATTCCAGTGTAAAATTTCCAGGAAAATCCCCACAGCGTTCAAATTTTACTCACGTGACACTACAGTACATGGAGCCCAAAAATATTTTTCAACAGTCTGTTACCCAATGATGACAGAGAAATATTTAAGGACAACCTATTTCTTTATCCTGAGTAAATAAATTCTACTTGTCACTTCACCAGGCATGTCCCATTAGAGTGCATCTTGATTTTGTTTTCTAGTCCAATATCTTAAAAGCAGTTTATTATATTTTGATTCTTTCTCCTTACTCTTCTCCAGCAGGAGGTGGAGGCTGGCACAGCTTGTATAATCTATCAAAAAAAGCACAAAGAATCACTGTGTTGTCAGAGGATAATGTCACCATTAAAACTAGCCAAATTCAGGCAAAAGGGGCTCAACCAAATAGAATCAATTCTGTATTCAATGGGCGCATCTACATGTGCACTTTACTGCAGAGTAGACTAATATGCTCTGCAGTAAAGTGTCACCATTTAAAAGTGTGCCACAATTAGGGTGGAGTAGACTAATTTACTCCAGTGTAGGATAGTCCTGTCAAACACAAGTACTATCCTATGCCAGAGTAAATGACTGTGATTAAATGAACACGTAGCTGGTGACAGGTGCAAACTGCACCCAGTTAGCTGAGTCAGCAGGGGGCCAGGCTCCTGCCTGCTGCTCTACCTGGGCTCAATTTACTCCTGTCACCAGGCACACATTCAGATGCTATGCCCAGATTAGTTTACTCCAGTGCAAATTCCACCAGAGTAATTTCAGTCACATTAATTGCAAGTATAGATATGTCCACTGGTTACATCTACACATACATTCATGTGCATGTCTACATGAAATGCTAACTCTGCAGTAGTTTAATAATACTGCACAGTAGCGTGTCACAGCCCAAACAGTACTGATACACTACTGCACAGTATTATTAGGCTACTGCACAGTAGCATCACTAAAAAGGCATTCACTGGCTCTGCTGCACAGTAACTCTGGTTACTGTGCATTTATTTAGTACTTGATTATACAAGTACTAAATTAAATGCACAGTAACCAGAGTTACTGCGTAGTAGCACCAGCAAACACCTTTTTAGTGATGCTACTGTGCAGTAGCCTAATAATACTGTGTAGCAGCATATTAGTACTGTTTGTCTTGTGACATACTACTATGGAGTATTACTAAACTTCTGCGGAGTTAGCGTCTCATATAGACATGCCAACTGTGTATCAGAAGAGACTCCACTGCAGTCAACAGCATAATATTGGTATAAAACCAGTGAGATCTGAATCCAGTTACAGAACTTTTATGGTGTTTGCAAAAATAAACACCTGCTTATTATTCAAACACCTCACTATTAGTAACTGTTCATATTCTAACATTCAATATCACCACAGCTAGACCTCCGTAAAACCATATGTAACTGCTGATCTGAGTGCCTAAAATGGAAAATCAGGTCTGGACACTGCTACTACTGACTTATTTTGTACTCCAGCTGCCACAGCTGTAAGGTCTTTCTCCATCAAACAAGTGATTGAGCATTAAAAACGCAGTGATTTTTGTAACAACATCTCCACTTAAGATAGCACTGCATCTCTTTCTCCTCTCTCTCAGGCATTTTAGTTCACATGCATAACAGTATGTGGTCCTAGCTGGCAGGTCCTCTCTCATTTTATTAACTACTTATTTTTTCATCTTTTGTGTAAGTGCTATTAATTGATGTCTTTATAATAGTAACTTAAAAGATACCTGGCCGACTCCAATGTGATTTGTAGTACGGCAAACTGAAGCATAGATCTGATCTGGATGGTAAGGCTGTGTGAATGATTCCAGCCTTTTTTTCTAGGCAATATAAAGTTACATTGCCTACAGTAATTACGGCTGTCTGAGATGTTGCCAGTGTGGCTCCTATTGTCAGTCTACATGCACCTTATGAGTGTTTGTGTACTGCCCTAATAAACACTGCTATTCAAACACTCCAGTGTCACCTTTTTCTCCTGTTAGTGAACATAAAAGGTGAAATGACAGCAGTTTCCTTCAGTTCCCATGCCATTTGAAGCCAAAACTAGATAGCTGTTGAGTCCAAAGAGGAAGAATGAAAGAAAGATCATGAATTCATACAGACATTTCTAAGAACAGGTACTGTAACAATTGTTTCTCTCTTCTTAAAGAATTCTCCATAAAGCTGACTGTAGATGATGAGCAAATATTATCCCCTCAAGATGTTTTGAAGCATAGTAGGCACACCAGTCAAACTAGGACTACAACTACTGCTCATCTGTCAGAAGCAACCTTTTACAAAGGTCAATGGATTACTCTACACCCCTGCCTAGCATATTCAGCGGCTGGCCTGCTTTTGAATCAGATGGAGGACGTACCTTAAACTCAGATGCAAGAAGTCCTTTTTGGTGGAAGAAATACATAAGCCAACAAACAACACTATCTGGTTTAATATGCTCTATGGTGAAAGAGCTTAGCCTTTAGAATGAGTTGTTAGGACAAAAATAGGATTATGGCTGAACACTTTAGTTTTCTTGGTCTCAGAGACCAATGCTGAAAATGAGTTTGGGCTTAGGTTTCAACAAAACCTTGTATCTATATAGAATATATAGACTATTCTATTCGATCTATATCGAATAGAATATAGATATAAGGGCTAGCAGATACATTTATTAGTGTCCGTCTGAAATGATAGCAACTAAGAAAATAGTCTTCAGTGGGCATGTCTACATGTGCTATTAATGTGCTTTAGGCTTACTGCACAATAAATTACTGTGCAGTAAGCCTTCCCAGGAAGCATATCTCCAAGTGCAACCTGTTGGGCACAGATTTGCTCACAATGGCAGCAGTCCAGGGCTTCTCCTGACCTGCTCTGCCCCCTTGCAGCAGCCAGGGGGAGCTCCAGGTTCCCCAGGGTGCTAACAAGGAACACAGGGGCCAGTTGTGATGTGCATGGGGCTAGGAGAGCTCTGCTGGCTGCAGCAGCAGCAGCAGCTGTCTCCTAGCCCTGTGCACTTTGGGATGGGACCTGATGTGCATGGGGCCAGAAGACAGCTGCTCCTGCAGCTGGCAGAGCTCTCCTGGCCCTGTGAAACACAGCTGCCAGCAAGCCCATCACAGGCAGGGCTTCCCTGCTCAGCAGGGGTTTCACCAGGAGCTGTCCCAAGTATGGGGCAGTAGTCATGTAAGAATATTTTGTAACAGGATGGATTAGCCCACTCTAACCTAATCAGCTGAGGTGTGGTGCAGCCCAGACACCAGCTACACTACCTTTGCCCTATTCTTGAATCCACTACTGGGCAAATGTAGTTGGCATCAAGGCATCTGATGGAAAGACATAGAAAAAGATAATAGATAATTGGAAAGATGTTGGATACTAAACCCAGACTAGAACAAAGGTTCTGGTACTTGGGACTGACATTACAGAAAAACAATGAATGGAAGACCTTTGCTGTAACAACCCTTGTCTGATAAATATGTGTGCTTAGGACATTCATCATGATGCTGCTGATTCTTGACAGTGAAAAATCCATCAAGGTTATCTCATTTTGTTTATAACCTGATAATCTGGGTCAGACCCTATGTCTATCTAGCCTATTACTCTGTCTCCAACAGGGGCAAGTAGTAACATTTTAGAGAGAGTATATGAGAAAGCCATGTCTGGTATAGTTCACTCCCCTCCTTTCATACCTTCCCTGGCATCAACCATCATTGGTTTAGGGATCCCTGACTTTCTATTTAGTAGCTCCTAATGGACATCTCCTCCAGGTATGTGTCTAATTCATTTTTGAACTAACTGCCTCTACAACTTCTGTGGCAAAGAGTTTCACAAATTCACAAAAGGGACTTCCTCTTGTTTGTTTAAAATCAGAATCCTGTTAATTTTAGTGGGCAATCCCTTTTTCTTATATTCTTGGAATTGGTAAATACCAGTTCCCTATGCATTTTATCCACACCCTTCATGATTTTATATCCCTCTCATCCTTCTTCTAACCCTTACTGTTATGGCAGCTGCTCCATAAGCACAATTATTTTGTTGCCCTTCTCTGTACCTTTTTCTACATCCATTTTGTGATATGGAGGCTAAAATTGCACACAGTATTCAAGATATGGCCCCATCTTGGATTTATCGTGACATAGTGATGTTTTCAATTCCCTTCCTAGCGATGCCAAACATTTTACTGGCTTTTCTGGCTACTGCTGTGAATTATGATGAGGTTTTAAAAACCAATCTACAATGACTCAAAGATCTCTTTCCTGAATAATAATAGATTGTTCATGGCCCAGCACTGTATATGTATAGTTGCAGTTATTTTTCCAGATATACATTATTTTGCATTGTTAACACTGAAGTTCATCTGACATTTTTTGTCCACTTGGTTCTGTGAAATCTTCCACGAATTCTTCACCATCAGTTTGGAATTTGACTACCAGGAATAATTTAGTATCACCTGCAAATTTAGCCATTTAGCCATTTCACTATTGCACTCCCTTTTCCAGATATTTTTTCTTATTCATCTCTCTTAATTATTACTTTATTTTTACTGGAATTTTAACACTTCAGTAGATCTATCTGCACACACGTATGTATGTATCAACATCTATGTAGCTATATAGTATATCAATTTGTAATTACTATTTAACAACAAAATATCATATTTTAAATCAACTTAGTAAACAATAACTAGATTAGTACAACCAGTTTAAGGCAAATCCAAGATGAAGAAACACACAGTGCCAGAGTGAGTTTAGTTATTTTCAAACGGTGAGCCCCTTACTTCTTTGAAAGCATTTGTCAAGTGTCTATAATCCATTATAGCATTAAAGTCTGCATAAATACAGCACAGTCATATTTTTCATTCTAATGGATGTTTTGGTAAGAGACAGAAATACTGCCTCATTTTTAAGCTAGTGGAAAACATGATTTAGATAAGATATTGCAGTATAATATTTTATAAAAACAGAGCATATAAGATATTGCAGTATAATATTTTATAAAAAAAATATTCAGACAAATATTTCCCATGAAAGATCACAGCCTGGAAGGATTCTCTCCTGCTCCATTTTTAAAAAGCCAAATCTACTCCTTATGATTTAAAAGAAGAAAGAAAATTTTCCTTTAACTTTTCTAAGTGATGCATATGATTTTTACTTTATAACTGCTTTACTTTTCATTGGATTAAAACAATTAAAAAACAAAGTAATTCTGTGGGCTTTATAAAGCCAAATTTTGCCTTTAAGTACACAGTCAACTCTGTGAGAGCTGCATGCATTCATGAATCTGGCAGAGAGAACTGTCACAAACTAGAAAAGTCTTAATTACAAGCAATTAAGTCTACCCTTTGGTTACCTTGGGACAGACTGTGGTGTTCTGTCCCTCACTCCTAAATTCTTGGCAGTGTTCTGCACTCTTGCTCCCTGAAAAAGAGAAACAATTTTGCTTCATATACAGCTAATGCAAGTTTTGGTGTACCTCCTGAATAAACATGTCACTGCAACCTTTATTAATAATTTTGCTTCATTAAGGATGCCCTACCTAACAAAAATTCTGCAGCCAACAAGGAAAAAAAACACATCCTAATAAAAGCAACTACAACTAATATTGACAAAAAGAAACTTTTCCAGTTCTCCAATTTGTTAAATAACTTATATTGTATAAATGTCAATCCAGACCAAAAGCAAGAGAACTGCTTAACAAAACCTGAGATTGTGAAGCAAGTGAAAAACTATACTGCTTATATACCTCTGATTTAATTTGAATGACATCTCTCACTCTTCCTAATAAGAGGCTTGATATCAGGCCCTTTATTCCAGCAAAACTCCCATTTATTATAATAAGAATTTGAATGAGCAAGTACTACATGTTCCTTCCTAGATCTAAGAATGCTTCCGGTGAGCACCTGCTTCTTCAACACAGAAAAGGCAGGCAGTGTTAAGGCATTATTTTGAGACTCAGTCTAAGAGGAACTCTGTGCTTTGCCCTTGGCTCTGTGTAAACTTGAGCAAATTAATTAATCTCATTGCGTCTCCTGTCCTCTATAAGATAGAACAAACAGTACTTCATTACCTCACAGGGATACTGTGAAGCTGAATTAATTAAAAGTATGAGTCAAACACACTGAAGAGCAACACAGAAAAGTGTCTATAGAGACACACAAGCCTCAACATGTGGAAGAGCAGTATGGGTAAAAATTCATGATAAAATTGGGGAGCTGGATTTTCAAACTAAGGTTTGACAAAATATTGTCTGATTGCATTTTCTAGATCTTAGAGGAATTGGAAGCTATCTCCTAAATTGCCTTTTCATTATTGTCTCTCTTGTGAATTCAAACTCAAAACAAAATAAAGGAAACATTAACAGATTTGCAGGACTTGAATAGGGTAGAATAGAATTGTACTTAGCTGTTTGCAGCATGGAAAAAACCCCACACACTTTACTGGAAGAAGCAATGCTCTAGTTCAACTTGGCTCTGCAGCATCTGTATAGATCAGGCACTTCCGCAGGGCTTTTTGGCACTTTTATCTGAAGTCAATCAGCTATTAGATAAAAGTGCCAAAAAAACCCCTACTAAAGCACCCAATCAATACAGATGTTGCAAATCCAGGTCAAACTAACTCTGCCTCTTCTGGGTATGTGCTGGGCTCAATGCAGGCCAAGCTGAGTAAGTACAAGTTGTTGTTTTTTTATGTCTGCAAGCAGCCTAAGTGCCTAAATCTTTTTAAAAACCCAGTAAGTGGAATGAAATTTGGAATATATATATATATATATATATATATATATATATGAATTTCAAAAGTAAATTCTTGATTGTAGAGATTGACATATGATTAATTTAACCAAATGCAACTGTATACATACTACATATATGAAAATATTAACATTAATCATAGGTAGACCTTGATCTGTAGTGGCATCTAAGAAAGAAATATCCACCTATTTTTACATCAATTGTATCATCCACATTATTCTATTGCAAAATTTTAAACAATTTAACACATCAGAATTTCTTTGGACCAGAAATGCTAAGTTTTGGACAACCATTGATTAATTGAACAACCACTGATCTGTATCTTAAGCAGGACTTTCCTCCTCTATTTCACCTTTTATAGGCAAGGGTTCTCTCTCTTTTTTTTTTTTTTTTTGGTGGTGATATCTTTTATTGGACCAACTGTATCACCAAAAAAATCCTTGGCTATGAAAGGCGAAATGGAGGAGGAAAGTCCTGCTTGAGATATACCAGCAGTCTTAGTGCAATGTGTGTGCATTAGGGGTGTGCGAAGAGGCCCTTATTCAATTTGGATTTGGATTCGGCCCAAATCAGGAACAGCGATTCAATTCGTTGATTCAGATCACTGTCCCTGATTCGATTCAGCCAAATCCGAATCTGAAGATTTGATGCTGATTCGGAGAATCAGTAATTTGGCCATAGACACAGCTTTAAACATTTTTTCTACATACCTTGAGGTAGAAGGCATGCCTCATGAACACTGTGATGCTGGGGTGGATGGAACATCCCACAGGAGTGTGCGGGGGGGTGCCCTCCATGTGCTCAGCAGCAAACCTAGAAGTGGATCAAAAGTACTTCTGGTCCACTTCCGGGTCTGCCAGGGAGCATGCTGCCCCCACCCTGCACTCCCCTGGCTCGACAATTGGCTACAGGGGGACCCTAGGTGCCCCCCAGACCCAGGAGGCACCAATCACCAAGCGGGGGGGGGGGTATGGGCCCCCCCGGTGGACCTGGAAGTGGACCAGAAGTGCTTCTGGTCCACTTCTGGGTCTGCTGATGAGTGCATTGGGGAGCCCCCCATGCTTCTGTGGGATGCTCCATGAGCCCCAGCCTTGCAGCATTGATGAGACACCTGCTACCTAGAGGTATGTAGAAAAAATATTTAAAGCTGTGTCTATGTCTGAATCTCCGAATCTTCCTGAATCTCTCCAAATCAATTTGGAGGGTTGTGATTCAATTTGGAGAGATTAAAGGGTTCTCTGATTCAATTCACATTTGGAGATTTGGCCACTGAATCATGCTGAATCTCCACCAAATTGAATAAGGGACCGAAGCTTTGCACAGCCCTAATGTACATAGTCCTGAGGTACTTATCTCTTTAACAGCTACCAATCACTTGCTATTTTACCCTAAGGAAAATGAAGTCCAGCCAGAAGAGATTTCCTCTCTTCTAAAAGAAGCTAAAGATATATGTCGAGCCCCTCATATACTTTTTCATTGCTAGTGGCTAACATTGCTTTGTTTTCTAATATGGTTTCTATCATTTTCATTTAATAAATCCCAAGAGATTCATAGAAGCCATGAACAGAAGCCAGAGTCATAGATGCACCAAGAATTTCTGAAAACTGATCAGACAAAACTGAAACCAGAAACTTTCAGCACTCGATAGAGTAGATCCCTGAAGGCAGGCTTATTATCCTTAGCATTCTGACTAGGTATTATAGGAATTCCTTTGGCTAGGAAGGCTCGAGCCCCTGCAACTGGAACTGGAAAAGTAGAAACAATTTATAACTGCCGGTTCATTATTTTACACTAGTTGCTTTCCTTTAAAAGATATCAAGTTAAAGCTTACTTTTTGAGGAGCCTTATGTGATCTGACTAAACATCATTAAAGGCCCTTGTTACATCTTACACTTTAAACTGAAAATATGTTAATTGGCTTAGAGTTCATGCCTGAGTGGGTGGTGGGGTGGTACAGGGACAGCATTTCCTGCCCCAATAAATAAGATAACATATTTTTGCTATTATTTCTAAGTAAACTGAACTAGGTTTAAAATTAAAC